CAGTGCACTGCATTGAATGTTAGACTGTCAGATGAAAGGAATCTTAGAACATAAAATGATAGAACTGAAAGGGACCTTAGAACAATAAAAGGTCAGAGCTAAAATGGGATTTGGAATATAACATTTGTGCCACCTTTGATATGGGTGGTATACTGTTGCATAGAGTGCTAGTGGTGGACTTGGGAGTCAGGAAGACTCTCAGTTCAAATCTTACCTTTGGTACTTAATTAGCTCTATGACTATAGATAAATCACTTAACCTCTCTGATTGCCATTTTCCTCATTCAGAAAGTCAGGATAATGATAATACTTGTATCTCCCTGTTTTTCTGAGGTTCAGATAACATAATGTATGTAAAACACTTTGTAAACCTTAATGTACCATATAAAAATCAATTATTATTAACAAAGTGTTAAAATTGAAGAGACCAAAAATTTTTTTTAAAAATAATAATTAAAAAAACAAAAACAAAAAGAATTGAAGAGACCTTGTTGTTCAGTTGTTTTTCAGTCATGTCTGACTCATCATGACCCTATTTGGAATTTCTTGGCAGAAATACTAGAATGGTTTACCATTTCCTCCAAACTGAGACAAACAGGGTTAAGTGACTTATCCAGAGTCACACAGCTAGTAAGTGTCTGAGGCCAGATTTTCAGGAAGATGAGTCTTCCTGACTCCAGATCCAGCACTCTATCCACTGTGTCACCTAGCTGCCCTGAAAAGACCGTAGAGAACATTTACTCCTTTATTATATAGATAGGGAAACTGACTCAGATGCACAGAATATAAGGACCAAAAGGACATTAAAAGTAATCTAGAACAATCCTCTCATTTGATAGAAGAAGCAGCTGAGGCTCTGAAGGGAAGAGCCACCCAGCCCATGAACATCAAATGAGCTCAGACTAGAACCCACTTCTGCTGCCCAGCCCAATGCTTTTTCCATCACACCCTCATTTTGGCAATAGAGATATGACCTCTCTAGCTGGGTTTCCCCTACTGCAAAAATCCCGAAAACTTGGGTTATAAAAAAGCGAGAAAGAGAGCAATAAACTAATAATAACAACAAACTATCTGGGCTCAAATTACCTAAATAATTGAGGGAAGACCTGAGTGCTTTGTTGTTGCTTTGCCTGAGTCATCCAAGTAAGCATTTGCCCAGCACTAGATTTATTAACTAACATTTCTGTTGTGTTTTAAGTTTTGCAAAGGTGAAGAAACACAAGGAAGGATATTGACAAATTGGAATAGGTCCAGGGGACAGTAACCAGAATGATGAGGGGCTCAAAACCGTGCTACATCTAGGATTAATGGAACGGGGGTGTTCAGCCTGGAGAAAAGGAGTCTTGGAGGGCAGGGAGTGTACTTGCTATCTTCAAATATCTGAAAAATGATCTTATAGAAAAAGGATTAGATCTGTTCTGCTTGGCACCAGAGGTTAAAACCAGATGTAATGGGTGTAATGGGTGGAAGTTATTGTCAACAGAAATTTTCATGGGGAAGACTGTTGATCATTTGTCAGAGCTCTGGTACAGGAGACCCTTGTTTCAGGTAAGTGATCACTGCAGTACTTCTGAATGTTGAATCTGTCAATAAGACAGATTTTATTCCCTGCTGTGCCACTGATCAGTTGTACAATATCAGACAATCTAGTATTTTATCTTTCATTTTCTCTCTCTAAGCCTCGGTTTCTCCTTTATAAAACTGTGATATGCCCACCAACTCCCTCACAAGATAAAATGAGATGATTTCTGCCAACTAATCTGTAGCAGCAGTGTGCAATCCAAGAGCTGGTCAACCATCATTATTATTCATTTAGGCATATATAAATCAACTCCTTACTCAAGTTCCATTCCCTCCTGTTAGGTGGGCCTAATCCTAGAAGCACCCATCTTAGTCCAGGTTCAATGTTGGGGTGAAATGAGGCATTCCTAAGTCATATAAGTTAACAAAACGAGGTTTGATTTGCCACCAAACAGGAAAAATGTCAGTAAGGATATAGTAACACTTAATTTCTGCGGATTCAACCTCCCTCTCCTCCATATGGAAATGGTCAGCAGGGTAGGCTATGGTGACTCTCGTGTTCTTCAGAAACCCACCAGGTAGGAGGGGCCTTGAATGCACACAGGTGGATTTTTTATGCCTTTATCAGTAACCAGAAAGTTCCATCAAGGAAAGTAGGGACTAATCAAGTTCCAGGGACAGTTTTGTTGCCTTTTGGGGAAAACTTTCCTATTACAGGGAAACAGAGAATACTAGTCTTCTCACATGCCCAAAAAACTAATTTCTCTAAGGACAAGTCAGTCTTTGGTCTCATGAGCAGACAATCCAATACTCCTAGAAAACCTAGGGTGCATGACAGACAAGTCATAATGGCTAGTCAAGAACTGTTGGGTTAATAAAGCTTGGGTGTCATGGGTTCATAGGATTAAGAAATGGGAAGGGGCCTGAAAGGGTATTTGGTACAACATTCTCATATTACAGATAAGTAAACTGAGACTGAGGAGGGAAGTCCAATTGCACAGTTATGTAGGCTGTAATTGTCAGGGCTAGATTTAGAGCCCAGGAGTCTTTAACAGTTTCCATTGTCTTTAAAGTGGAATTATTGAGTTCATGGATCTTCTGACAAGAAAATTTGAGCATGCTATAGGAAATGATGAGTGGCCAGACTTCAAAAAACTTGGAAAGCCTTAGCTGAACTGATGCAGAGTGAAATGAGCAGAACCGGGAGAACATTATACACAGTAACAGCCACATTGTGAGATGATTGACTTTTATAGACTTGGCTCTTCACAGCAATGCAAGAATCTAAGACAACTCCAAAAGACTCATGATGGAAAATGCCATCCACATCCAGAGGAGGAAATATGGAGTCTGAATGCAGATGGAAGCATACTATTTGCTTTCCTTTTCCTTTGTTGTTTTGTTTTATTGCTTCATTCTCATGATTCCTCCCATTAGTTCTAATTGTTCTTTACATCATGACCCACAGGAAAATATGTTTAACACGAATGTATATGTAGAGCCTATATCAGATTGTAAGCTGTCTTGAGTGGGGGAAGAAAGTGGGAGGGGGAGAAAATTTAAAACTCAAAATCTTATGGAAGCAAATGTTGAAACTAAAAATAAATAAATTTTAAAAAAAAAGAAAATATGAGTAGAACATAAGCTTCCTGAGGGAAAGGTTTGCTTCAGCACAGTTTATTCCACATAAATGGCAACTATAATTGTTAAACTCTTTCAATAAGGAAGTTTTATACAAATATACAACCAAAACAGACACTGGAAAGGGACACAGGGATGCTGGGTGTGAATATCCTTGTGATATGGGAAGAGGCAAGAAACTCTCTCCCATCTAATACTGTGTACATGTGTACATATGTACATATGGAGGCTAAAGAAGGAAGCAGAGCTCTCATTTGATCAACAAACATTTATTGATTGTGGAGTGATAGAAAGAGCTCTAGGCTGAGCTGGGAGACATGACCTGGGTACTGATTGCCAGCTCAGGGAGAGGCTCGCACACACCTTTGCTTCTGATTCAAGGGCTGCAGTTCCCTGTATTTGCTAACACTGACTCAAAATTATCCAGCAAGCTAGAGGCAGCAGGGAGTAGAGAGTTCTGCACAGTCTGCTCTTGAATCCCACTGTAGCCCTCCCTCTTCACAGCTGCAGAAGATGCCCTTCTGCTCTCCCACCCCACCCCAAGGTGCTCCCTTAGTCTCTAACAGTCAAACAGGATTAAAGTGCATCCAGAATGAAATGGTAGTCATTTTGTCTCCCTTTGGCTGTGTGTCAATGACAAGGAAACACAGGGCCTCCCCTGGCTCAGTGAGGGGAAATTCAAATTATCTTTCATTTCACTAAGTCGCTTTTTAATTCCAATCCCTACTGTAGACATACAGAACTGAAGCAGACACAGGGCCCATGTGACAGCAGCTTGTTAACTGGATAATAATCAATATTTTATGCCATTGGGGGTTATCAGCAAACATCCTAATGCACCATCAGCTTCATTAAGAACATTGTTTAAAAGGTTATAGATTTGTTTGTTTCTACTCCCCATCAAACGTTATTTTTGAAACAAGTCACATTTGGTCTCTAAATTTCCACCTCTGCAGTCCCTCCAAAGAATAAAAGAGGGGAATCAAAAGTAGAATCAAGGAAAGATATGCCCAAATTTTATTCTTTGGGAGACTACCCATTGCTTGGCTTGGCTCCTTTCTTCATGAAGGTACAAAAAGCTACTGACCACATTACCCACAAAAGTAGGTCTTCAGATCCCTTCCCTTTTTGAGGAGAATGGAGTGGGCAAAGCCCATGACCCAGTGAGAACAGGGATTTCTTAGCTAAAGTGTGAATGCACCCATGTCCACCCCCATCCCAACTAGTGCTCTGCACACAGGTTTATTTGATATTGGGTAGAGTGGAAGCTGTCTACCAAATTCCCTTCCCATCACTATTCCTTGGGAAAGCAGCATCAAATTTAAAGGTAGAAGCAGCCCTAGAGATCATCCAATCCACTACCACCCCCTCATTTTACAGAGGAAGAAACAAAGGCCCAGAGACTTGTCAAAGGTCAAGAGTCACAGAATATGATGGATGTTAAAAGGAATGTGAGAAGTCTTCACTCTTCCCCATCCCCCCTCACAAGTCTTCCAAAAAAATGAAGTGGTTGCTGTTAGTAGCTATCATGCCAGATCTATACTTTAGAAAACATAAACTTCAGAGGAAGCAACTTTTAAGCATCAGATGAATTTGTAGAATACACCATGGTGACAAGGTTGGCAATGTACAATGAATAGCGTTCACATGAGTTTTGTCTCTTCCCCACCCTCCACTTCCAATGAGGACTCTATAATCCCATTAACTTAGGTCTTAGACTTGGTAGTAAATGAAGTATGTAGATTGGGAATTCCCCAATTTTAACTCCTATCCAGGTCTCTTCTCTCAAAATCTTCATTCCAGCAAGCCATCATATTTATACTTCCTGGAGGAGTTTCTTTACACCTTACTTGTTTGCATGTGCCCATTGAATTCTGTATTTCTGGAGGACAGCATGGCCTCCTGCAGGCAGCTGCTCTTCTCCAGCCTATGGTCAGTGGGGTCACCATCTTCAACACCATAGCCCTTTCGGAGGCACAGGACCTTCTGAAAGCTCTGCTTGAAGTTGTCAGACAGGAACCCGTACAGAATGGGATTGGCACAGCTGTTGGCATAGGAGAGAATCACCACAAAGAAGTATACACCTGCAGAGGCAGCCTCTTCAGGCAGGATAAAAACCAGATTGACAATGTTCAGGGTGAAAAATGGCAGCCAGCAAAACACAAAGACGACAACAATGATGACCACCATCCTGGTCACTTTTCGCTCTGATCTCCTCCTCCGGGTGGAGCCCACCCGGACCCCTGATGACTTGACCTTGATCACAATTAGCAAATAGCAGAGGCAGATCACCAACAGTGGCCCAAAGAATCCCAGGACAGAGGTGTAGATGATGAAGACTGCTCCCCAGATATTTACCGGCTCGGGCCAGCTGATGTTGCAGGTATTCCAATCTTCCTGGACATCGGCAAATATGATGACTGGAAGGGACATCAGTAATGAGAAGGTCCAGACAGCAGCACTGATAAGCCTAGCTATCCTTGGGCGGCGCCACTTGGTGGACTTGATAGGATGGACGACAGCCAGGTACCGATCCATGCTCATGACAGTAAGACAGAAAATACTGGTGAATTGGTTAATGCCATCCACAGTCATCACAAGCCTGCATAGGAAGGTGCCAAAGGGCCAGTAGGAGATGGCGTTTTGGGTGGCAATGAATGGCAGACCCAGCATGAAGAGGACATCAGCTACAGCCAAGTTGAGGATGTAGATGTTGGTGACAGTCTTCATCTTAGCATACCTCAAGACCACATAAATGACAAGTGCATTACCACTGAGCCCAACCATGCACACAAGGAGGTAGATGATGGGGATAATTACTGTGCGAACAGCAGACACAGGACCTGGTGGTATGACCACTGTTGTATTTTCACTGCTATTGAAAGCACAGGAAAAGTTGGCTCCCCGAAGATGGCCATCCAGCCCATCAACTGGCAGCGAGTATAGTGGATCCATGGTATCATTCTTTTTTTTTTCCCCAAGGTTGAGAAGAGCTACAATTCAGACATCTTGTTTCTAAAAGAAAAAAAAAAGAAGTGAAAACCAGAAAATAAATTAATGAGAGGAAAATTGAAAGTGTTTTTGTTAAGCTAACCATATTCTGGAATCATGTCCCTATTCACTCACTGCCTTCTCCCCTCCCTCACTCCAAACCTCCCATGTAACTGCTAGATAACCCAGTGTACCATAAAGCACATTAGCTATGGTATCAGCCTGGATTTTTACATTAAGCAAATTGTTTGGAAAACAAGTCTCAAATAAATTGATAAAAAATGAACTGTCACTCTTGGGAAGTTGAAGTTGGGAAGGGAGCACAAATCTTTAAATTCAGTAAGTTCCTACTTCTGAAGAATATTTTCTTATTTCCCATCCCCATCCTCACCCCTAGATGACTACAAGAGCTTCTCTGCTTCTGGTTTCTCCTTCTTTTAATATTTTTAATATATAACATAATATATGTAATATGTAAATATGTATAATTAATATATTTAGTATTTCAATATGGTATGTAATATTATTATATATAATATGATATAATGTATTTTGCCTGGATCTTCCCAAAATACCAATTTTATGATGTCATCTTCCCATTCCTACCCTTGCTCAAGTATCTTCAATGGCTCCCTATTGCTAATGACCTTATCAAGTAAAAATCCTCTGCATAACTTTCACAGGTTCCTACACCCTGGTTCTACCCTATGAGATCAACCTTTTCATAATCATTCCCCAAAAGTCATACTCAGGTATATCCAGCACAAGCTTATCATTCCTTTATGCCCTCCCCCCCATTATGTTCACACCTTCCTGAATTCGTTCCCATTTTCTCCTCTCTTCCTATATGATCCCTACCTATCCTTCAAGGCTCAGCTCAATCCCTACCTCCTCCAAGAATAAATTAGTACATTTTAATAGGGAAAAACCCTGGATAGGGAGTCAGGAGGCCTGAGTTTGGGTCAAGCCTCTGCCACTGACATAGCATGGGAGCATCCCTTTCCCTCTCAAGGCCTATTCCCCATTTGTAAAATGAAAGCATTATGCTAAATAATCTCCAAAGTTCCTTCCAGCTCTGCCATTCTATAATGGCAATATATAGAATCCATAACTCCAACCCTGAATTCCTTTTAACCACCATTTAGTAAGTATCTACTATGTGTAAGTTCTAGGAGCATCTAGGTGGCACACTGGGCTGGAATCAGAAACACTCATTTTCCTGAGTTCAAATCCAGCCTCAAACACTCATTAGCTGTGTGACCCTGGGAAAGTCACTTAACCCTGTTTGCCTCAGTTCCTCATCCATAAAATGAGTTGGAGAAGGAAACGACAAACCTCTCTAGGATCTTTGCCCAGAAAACCTTAAATGGGGTTATGGAGGGTCAGGCATGGCTTAAAAATGACTCAACAACAGAAAATGTGTAAGCTCTATGCAAGGTATTTGGGATGCAAAGGAAAAAAACGTTCTTTCTCTCAAGGAGTTGACATCCTACTGAGGCACATGCACATAAACAGACATGTAAATACAAGATAATTTGAGAAGGAAGAGAGTATTTACCAATAGGACGTTCAGGAAAGGCTTCCTATGAGATAATGCCATCTGAGCAGAACCCTGCTGGAAGTTAAAGATTCTACAGGGCCAAGAAGAAATTGGAACATATTCCAGACATGAGGGACGCCTATGCAGAGGCACAAGACTGGAAATAAAATGATAAGATCAGAGAACAGCTAATAGACCATTTTGGCTGCAATATAGGATTTGTGAAGAATAGTGTGAAATAAGTCTGAAAAGAAAGGCTAGAGCCGGTTGTGTGAGGGACTTTAAATGTCAAGCTGGGGAGTTTGTATTTCGAGGAAATAGGGAGCCACTGAAGATTCTTGAGTAGATGTGTGACATGGTTAGACTTGACTGCTGCAATTTATAACAATCTCTCCTTTGTTTCTACTCTTTTTGCCTGTGAAGTCAACTATTAGAATGCAGTTTAGCACTTTCCTAAGTCTCTCATATATCTCTCCAACTAGACTATGACCTCCTCAAGGGAAATCATCTTCTCTTTTTGATCATTCTATACTGCCTAGGACAGGGTATGTCTCCATGAAAACTTCTCAGTTGACTGATTACAAGTTTGGTCATTTGCATTTAATTAATCAAGGAAAGTGTAATGAGGTCCAGCATGATGGGGAGAAAAGACACTGGATTTGGAGTCAGAGGGCCCAATTGTAAATATCAGCTTTTCTACTTACAAATTGTAACTCACTCATCATATCTGAACCCCAGTTTCTTCATCTGTAAGATCTTATCATTGGCGCAGGAGAGATGATTTTCCTGTGGTTTGGTTCTATCTTGGTGCTACCTCCTCCAGGAAGCACACCTTGACCACTCCAGCCTAACACTGAACTTTCTCTTCTAGGAAAAGACTTTTCTCTCTGAATCACTCATTTGGTACTTGGCATGCATTGTTGCTGCCTCTCTCTGTTTGCAGTTCTTATCTCTCCTCTCCTCCAAAATACTGTCAGCTCCCTCCAAGCAAAGGGTATGGATTACTCATCATCCTCATGGCCTAGATCTCGCCTTATAATAACAATGCTAAATAGGGCCATAGGCCACATTGGATGGTAACTCAGGGTTCTTTAAGTCCCAGCTTCTTCACTTCTACACTTTACAGAGGCTGAGAGTTAAGTGACTTTCCCAAGGTCAAACAACTAAACATTTGAGGTAGAATTTGAGCCCAAATTTTAACTCTGCTGCTGGCTGGGAGAAATTAACTCATTTCTCTGAGGGCTCAGTTTCCTCATCTATAAAGAGAGGAGGATGAGGAGGGATGGACTAGAAGATCCCTAAGGCCCTTTCTAGTTCTACACCAATTTTAATGCATCAGAATTCTATTGCTGTGGGGAGATGACCTTGACCTCCTCATCGGCTACGGAAAAGTCTGTGCCTGATGGGCGTTAGGAGGAGGCTGGGGAAAGATTAGAGGCAGGAAAAGAGAGAGGAGAAAAGAAATTGGATTATCACTTATTCTTTGAAGTTGGGCACATGCTTAAAAGATAGAGTCACTCTGTTTTATATCTGAAGGGATTTTAAGAAAAATGAATTAGAAATCCTCCAGTCTTTCTCTGAAGAGAAAATGTGGCTGGTTTGGAAGCAATAAGATGTTATCTGCCCACCCCAGCCCATCTGCAACACTCTCCCCAGCCGAAATGACTTAAACAAATGTCAAGTTCTGGTCCCAGCCTCTAGAACTTCTCATGCCTTCAGAATCAACAGGAAAAAAGATTGAGACCAGGTATAAATAGCTCTGCAAAGCTGTGCTCCTTAGAACTACCAGGAATAAGGCTGTCAGGGAATATTGCACACAAGCCAGAGGTTAAATGGACCTAAGCCTGATTATTGCAGAGATGCTGACCTCCAATGGAATGAAAATTATATGGGATTAAAAATGCTGGTGGAGAGAAGTTTCCATGAGTATAGGGTCCACTCAGGGAAGTTTTCTAAAAACGATTGTAGCTTTTGCCACATTAGTTGTCATTACTGTGCTTGAAGTACAGGGTCATGAAAATAGGCAAGAAATCTAGAATTTGAGAGACAGCTTGGCTACTAACTTGTTGTGTGATGTTAGAAAAGTCCCTCCCTTCTCTGGGCATCAGTTTTCCTATTTGGGAAATTAAAAAAGAGATTCAGACTAGAAGAACTATAAAGTCCCTTCTTGCTCTAACATCCTGTGCTCTATGTTCTAAGATCTCCTCTTGCCCTGACATTCTATGTGTTGAGTTTCCTTTTTTCTCTGATGATCTTTGCTCTATGTTTGCAGTCTCCATGCTGCTCTGACATTCAATGTTTTAAATTCTCCTCTTACTCTGACATCCTGTGTTAAATATTCTAAATTCCCTTCCCACTCTGTCATTCTATGATTCTAGAAGGCCCTAATGGTAACTAGGTCTCAGATATATTCAGCTAGATCCACCTGAAAGTCAGCCCATGCAGTTCTTCCAGAGCAGGTCATTGTATTATATAATTGCTATGATTGGCCTAATGGAGATAGCTCAGGAAAGAGCCAGATGATTCTGCTGTCATCATCAGCTGGAAAAGAAAAATGAAGCGTGGTGTGTAGCTATTATACAATGACTAGAATATGCTTCTGAGATTTCTCATTAGCTGAGCAGAACTGAAGCTTCATTTTGAGATCTAAATGAAGTTTCTGATGTCTCTAACTGGTTAGCTGTGGTGAAGGAGAAAGAATATCAGACTTGAAGTCTAAAGATACGGGTTCAAATCCTGTATCTACTCCTTAGGCACATCATTCCCTTTCTGTGACTCTTAGTTTCACCGCCTATGGAAAAAGAATAAGAATTATTAAAATTTTGTTAGTATATTTATTTGAATTCCATCTTGGATCCCTTCACTAAGGTCTTCTTTCACACATTATCATGGTGTAGAGATGCCAGTAGAGCCCAAACTCAGCAGACCCCTACCCAGCAGGAAAGGCTTCATGTAAGAACCTGGAGACCCTGCCAGCAGATGTCAGAGACACTGGTTATCTGGGAGTTGGTTAGCAAGTCCTGAAAGGTTGCAGTAATTCCAAAAAGCTCATCTACTACACTAAGAAATCAATCAATCAAGTGTTTATCAAGTATTTACTACGTGTCAGGGCACTGTGCAAAATGCTAGAGATACCAAGAAAAAGCAAAACAAAATGGTCTTCACCCTCAGGGATTTTACATTCTAATAAGGGAAGCCACATGTGTATAAATAGAATAGATTCAGAGTAGTTGGAAGGTGACATAAGAGAAGTCACCTACAACCTGGGAAATCAGGAAAGGCCTCGTACAGGAGGTAGCATCTGAACTGAGCATTGAAAGAAGCCAGGGGTTCACAGAGTCAGAGGTTGGAAAGGAAAGAACTACAGGTAGGAAGAACAGTCTCTGCAAAGACACAGAGATAGGATATGTGTGAGGACGAGCAA